ATATACAGTGAGGGGGTGTATTTAGACACACTGGCCCTCATTCACCAACCATTCATAAGAAGAAATTTCTTCTTAAACCCACTTACGCAGTTTTTATAAAGATTCTAACATTCACCAGTTTTCTTATTTGAGATTTGTTCTTAGGTAAGAAAAGAATCAACACACACTCAGAGCACAAAGGTGTGAACAGTTCAGCGCTTTAAGAACACATCATCAAATCTGATGCAGACTTTTTCTTAGGACCTTTCTCAAGTATTAATTTGAGAAAAAAACATAGGAAGATTTTGGTGAATGAGGCCCAATGTTTTGGTAATTTAATATGCTTCCAACGCATATATCCACTTTAAATTTATGCTTGTAAAGTACCTCCAAAACGGTAACTTGTATCTCCAAAATGGTAACTTTACAGGGGAAGGAAAAAAACCTGCTTTGCTTTTAATGTAAGTCAATGGAACCAGACATTTTGTCCAAGTCATTTTGATCCATTTCTGTTGGTCCATTCATCATGAAATTTACACACAACGCAAAGAGCAGCAGGCATTTTCAAATTATGTCAAAAACTGAAAAATGAGAGATACGAGGTTTTCTTCCAACAGCAGTGATATATATATACATATATATATATATATATATATATATATATATATATATATATATATATATATATAGTGTATGAATATATACATTTTTCATGCATGTCTGCATTTATGCATACATTTTTCCTTTATTATTCATAAGCACAAAGACAAAAGACATTATGTGTGTAAATGTGAAGTAGATATATGCACTGGAAGTTTATAATATAATAAAAAAATGAAAGTGTCTGCATACCTGTTTCTCTTCACTGTAAATCATAGAAATAGATGATTACGTCACTGTGCAAAAGACTGATAAATTCAGTTCAATTAAATTTAATCCAATTCAACTTTATTGTTATTAAGCACCAATACCAATACAGTGTTGTAGAGTATAATGACATACTATCAGGCTACTTCTCTGATGCAGCAATAATAACAATAAAACAATAATAATTTAAATCAAACAAATTGATTTATGTGGGCAGTAAATATGATTTTGTTTGTGAAACACTATATAACATCAGAATAAATACACCTAATTATTAATACAATAAAAACAAGAATTTAATTTAGAATTTAAGCTATATATGTCTTGTGAGATGAACTGTGAAGAAGAACAGAAACTGTTTTATTTCATTAAACACATCTTTCTATGACACTCAACATTTGTCAATCATTGAAAAAAAAACTGCACTTTGGGGACATCAGCATCCCCGTGCGGCTGTAAAGGTTATATTTTACTATCAACATGCTTGATGAACCAGGTATTGGATTATAACTACAAATACTGGGCTGCCTGAGGAGAGGTTTAGTTAAGCTAACACAGTAACAGACAAAATTACATTTAAGTGCATAGTGTTGATATTTATTTATTCTAATGTTAATGTTCTTTCAAGCAAATAAATGTTTTCTGCCCAGATAAATAGCTTTAAATATAATCTTCTCAAGTGGCCTTTTGCCTAGTGTTAGAAGGACATGCACTGGACTGCATGTTGTGTGAATGTGCGATATCAGTGTGTGTCTGTTTGTCTATTTTCTGTCTGTCTATTTTCTGTCTGCCTCTTGTCTGCTCATAACTCAGGCAAATATATAACTTGCCTGTCTGTCTCTCTGTCCTTCCCCCCTAGGCACTAGATTTTTTGGCTATAGGGGTACATGAGCTGGCGTCTATCAGTGAGAGACGTATTGAACGTCTTTGTAATCCGTCTCTCAGCGAGCTACCTGCCTTCCTGGTCAATGAAGGAGGACTGAACTCCGGCTTTATGATCGCACACTGCACTGCAGCAGCCCTTGGTCAGTCATTCTCATCCTAACACACCCACAGTGAACCAACTCAGTCAAATATATAACTTCTTCACTATATAAAGCAGTTATTAACTGCCAAGGAATCTCGTGATCTTGTCAGAGAAGGTATATCCCATGGGCAGCTAGACAAAACACGGTTTCCTTAATAGTTTTATAAATTTTTTTCAGGAGAAAAAAAAACTTGTAAGCGTTGGCCCTGTCGTCAGGAGATCACAAGTTCGATCCCTGGTGGTGCTACAGCCATCCGTAGCCGGGAGTCCAAGAGAGCACAATTGGCCTCGCTCTCTGGGTGGGTAGGATGCCCCCCCTCTTCTCCCCCCATCACTTAACACGATACTAGTCAGCACAGGCATCTGTTAGCTGACATAACAGATCTGATGGTTGGCGCTTTCCTCCGAGCGCGTTCAGCTGTCCAATGACGTCGCATTAGTGGCAGTTAGAAAAGATGCGGTGGCTGGTTTCACAGGTCTTGGAGGAAGTCTGTGTTAGCCTTCACCCTCCTAGCGCTGGTAGTATTGTGCGATTGGGGGAGTCCTAACTAGTGGGTGGAACTGGAGACGACTATATTGGGGAGAAAACTGGGGAAAAAAAAGAAGGTTCTCTATGAACACTCTTTCAACACACTTGCAAACATCAGATTCATCCGCTATGAGAAGGGGTCTGAAGCACAACCGCCATTACAAAAATTCCATACATTGTGTGCAAATACACATTTCCATCAGAGTGTCTCCAACTCCCCAAATCTTACTTATTGCAGCTTTAAGTTTACATGTCAGCTTTACTTGCTAAAGGCTCTTGTTTCCTTGCAGTTTCTGAAAACAAGGTTCTGTGCCACCCCTCCTCAGTGGACTCTCTGTCCACCAGCGCAGCTACAGAAGACCATGTGTCCATGGGCGGCTGGGCTGCCAGGAAGGCCCTGAGAGTGATCGAACATGTCGAGCAAGGTACAAACACCATCAAATTATACCCCCAACACCTGAATATATATACACCACTGAGTGCTGGTAACAGAAATAAATGAGGTGCAATTCAGTTCTATCTTGGACCTATATTGAATTTACATGATCTTAAATATTACCTCTTCCATTAACCTCCACTGTTAACCCTTTAAACTCCAAGGCCCACCCCTCAGTCTGATACCTTCATAAAGTACATATAAGTGTCATAGAAGTTACAAAATCATTGAGAGTAGTTACTGAATACTTCCCCTTAAGATTAATAACTGATTAATAACCCTAGGGTTCTGGGGTTGATATAAGGATGAATAGAATTCTAACAGTTATATACAGTGCAGAGGTTGAAAGTGTGTGATTTTGACTGAGGCTGTGCTTTGTTTGTTTTCTCTCAGTGCTGGCTATTGAACTGCTGGCAGCTTGTCAGGGTATAGAGTTTCTCCGCCCACTCCGGACCACAACGCCATTGGAGAAGGTGTATGACCTTGTGCGTTCTGTAGTCAAGTAAGTAAAGTGACACTGACCAAAACAAATCTTGGACCCCAAATGCTGAACCAGTCAATATTTGTTTATTCCTCTTTTGACCTCTCTTTTCCCCCTTCTCTCTCTCTCTCTCTCTCTCTCTCTCCCCCTCTCTCTCTCTGATGGACAGGCCCTGGATAAAAGACAGGTTTATGTCTGCAGACATTGAAGCTGTTCACCGGCTTCTTGTAGACCAGAAGGTGAGTCCCATTGTACCATTTTACATCCATGATTCGTGGCTAGAGATCAGTGGCTAGGCTAGCAGTCAGAATTGGCTAACACCACGGGGATTCCCAGTGGTTGTATGTATTTGCATATTCCATGTTGAGTATCGTATTGAGAGAAAACTGAAGAATGAAAACATGAAAACAATATAAAATCATAAATTCTGTCGAAACAATAAGACACTGGGATAAAATGCTGCGCTACAGAACATTACATAACACAAGAAATAACAGATTAGATTCTAGTTTTAGGGCAGAATGCCCCTTCAGCTTGGATCCTGGTTGAATCTCAGTCTTATCCACTATAAAAGAAATAGAACAGAGCTTCTTCTCCTGTCATGCCTTCAGCTTGTGCCTCATTCACCTCCTCTTCTTTGTCCAGGTGTGGAACGTTGCTAAGCCGTACATTGAGAAGTACTGCACTGAGCTCTTGCCTGAATCACGTCCGTCCTCTCCCACTGCCTTCTCCCTGGAGCCCCCACCTTCACCAAGAAAACGGGTCCGACTTGAATGACCAAGAACCCACTGAGCTACACAACTATACACTATTTTTATGCGCTCAGTGCTGATTAACATCTTTCTTACTACACACAAGATTAGAAATATGTTGTAGCAAATGCGCAAAAAAATTTGATATGTTGTAATCCATTGTAGTGTGTGATCTTAAGTGTCAGAGAACGTTAAAACACATCCGGTCTTCATTCATCAGGTTCATATTTATGAAACTATTTTAATGTCAGTCATCACTACTCCACTGTGAGCACTTGGGTTTAAAATGTTTTAAAAAAGAAAATCCTTTGGTAGCTCAAGTGCTGTGCAAAAGTCTCAGGCATCTGTGAAAATGATACAGTCATATGCAATAGTTTGTACACCCCTGCACACATGAGATATTTTGTTGGTTTTCTAAGTGAACACATTTAATTTTATGGTACAATTTGTATTTATTTGCATAGTGAAAAAACATAAAATTATAACATATGAAATGTGCCATAACTTTTGCACTGGACACATTTTATTTATTTTTTTTTCCAGTATTTGATTTCAGTGTTAAAGAAACGGTAATTATGCATTAAATGTGCAGTGGTGTATTCTCTGTAGAGGATGTGTTAACAAAACATGTTGTTTGACCAGGGTCGCCAAAACCTTTGCATATGACTGTATAGAAAGACACTGGAGCATTTATTTGTTTTAAAAAATGCATTAGAATAAAGACAAATATAAATCAGTGTGTTAGTGTAATCATTTCCAAATGTCTTCTGGAGGAAGTTAAGTATTAACAGTTGCCATCCACTACCTGCTTCAGCTGATCAGTCCTTCATTAAAGTACTCCAGAGTGGTGCAGCCATCTAAGCGCTGACCCCTCATCATCACTTAGCGCGATGCTAGCCAGCACAGGCATCTGTTAGATGATGTAACAGAACTGGTGTTTAGTGTTCTTCTCAAAGCATGTTGAGCCGTCCAATGATGTTGCGTTAGTGGCAGTTTGAAAAGATGCTTTGGCTGGATTCACAGGTCTCGGAGGAGGCTTGTGTTTGCCTTCGCCCTCCTAGTGCTGGTGGTATCATGTGACTGGGGGGGTCCTAACTAATCCGTGTAATGACTGGAGTGCAGCGAGAAGTCAAGAATAAAACTTGTGTTTAGCAGGGTTGTCCAAACTTTTGCACTTTTTTTTCTAATATGTTAACATCAGTGTTAAATAAACTGTAATGATGCTTTAAATGTGCTTTAAAGGGCTTTTAAGACTTTTGTTCAGTACTGTAGCTTTGAAGAAGCCCAGTGTGTAATTATGCCAGACACACTCATTCACAGGCTCATACTATGTACTGACAGGAAGAAGAATGAAAGAAAATATTTTTTTTTAGCCACAGGGAACTCTTTTCAGGACCAAACCCAGGATAGGGCACCAAGCCAAGAAACAGAATCCAACCAGCTATAGGATTCTGAAAACATTCATGTTCAGTTCATAATGGTGTCAATACACAACATGAACCTGTGAGTGAGTGTGTCTGGCATAACTACACACTGGGCTTTTTCAAAGCATCAGTACTGAACAAAAGTCTTAAAAGCCCTGTATAGCATTAGAATAAATACAAACAGAAATACAGTAAAAAATAAAAAAAACACATTTTATACATTTGCAGTGTATAAAAGGTGTCTTTAATTGGCTTGTATGGCTCCCATCATTAGCTGAAATGTGGTCTTCAGTGTAAAAGATAGGAGGGTCAGCTATAGAGAGGCACACAGCAGGGAGCTGCATGTCACAGACAGCTGCTGTGTGTGTGCGTAACAAATCCTTAACAATACTACACTACTCTCTCTCTCTCTTTCTCTCACTCTCTCTCTGTATTTCTCTTTCTCTGCTTCCTCCATATCTCACTTCCTCTTAATTGAGAGAACAGCAGAAACTAAGGACTATATCATAAGGTCTAAGATTTCATTTTTGATTAGTGTTGCTGAGGTTCCAGGGAAATACAGTGCTTACAAGGATGTTGGAAAATACATCACCAAGTAAGTTTCTGATGGAAATTGTGCATATTAGACATTCTACAGTTCAGAAATGTGCTTTTATGCTATATTTATAGCTTTTATGCTATATGTATAGCTTTTATGCTATATGTATAGCTTTTACGCTATATTTGCAATGAGACAAAGTGTAAGATCAGCAATGAAGTTGTATTAAGTTAGTTAATTAGGCCTCAGATGTACTATAGATTATGAATTTTGTGCAATAAACAACCATAGACGTTAAACCTACACCGTTATTATTCATGTGTTCATTCTGTTTAGACATTGTTTGCATGTCAAATTAAAATGGTTTATTAAATTTTAAATGTATATAAACATGCAATTTTTTGTTCATTCACATAATTTGAACACAGCAGCTGTTATTTATGTTGGGTCAAAAACTCGTAATGTAATTGGCCAATAGAAGTTCTCCAAAATTGCTTGGAATAAAATATTGCAACATTAAATCACATTTAAAGTTCAGAACAAGTTTCCGCTCTGCAGTACAGTTTCCATTTTTGATAGGCAGGTGTTTTTAGACAGCGATGATCTGCTCATTTGTGTTCTTGTTGATGTTCGTTATCTCTGCTTGTTGGAGTAAAGGCCTGTTCATTTCACAGTCATGAGTCTAGATGAGGACACACGTTGGCTCGAGTGGGTCACCAAGCAGTTTGAGAGCATTGCGGGAGAAGACAAGGAGATAGACCTGGATGAATTTAAAACAGCTCTGAAAGTGAAGGAGGTGAGAACTGACAGTCTGTGTGTAAATCTCAAAAAAGCAGGAATGAACAGACAAAGAATAAAAGACTGAGAAGTGTCATGATTCTGATTCTGAGAAAAGCTACTAGCGAACGTATTGATTTGGTCTACAGCTACAAGAATATGCACAACAAAAAAGACTTTTCATCAAATTTTAATCTTAATAAAATATCTTGCAGAATTTCTCAAATTTTTATTTGTGCTGTGAATCAGAAATTATTAAAAAACCACAACAAGAAGGTTTTGTGGCATTTTTGCTGTGTGATGTATATGCCCTTAGAAAAGAGATATTACAGGGGAAAGTATATATATATATATATATATATATATACACATATGTACATAAGTACAAATAGATGAATTGTCTTGCGGTTCAGGCAAATGCAGGCTGAGTGTGTAAAAAACTGCTTCACCACTGGGTAGTACTGGTGTAGCACCGTAGAAACTTCAGAATAGTGCTGCTCTGTAGTCTGACAATGCAAATAGACACATCATTTCTATTGTAAGACTTTATGTTGATATTATTTATGTCAAACTGTGTTTGTCGAATGATATAAACTGAATGAAATACTATTGCAGTACTGTAATTTAATGTGGTCATGAGGATAGGGCTATTTTTTATTGATGATAATTGAAATTAGTAAAATATAGACAGGCACGTAAGGTTGTTAGGGCCCCTTCTCTCAGCAGCGCCTGAAAAGTCACTCAGCTATAAATGTGGTGATTTACTGAATGTTGCCATGGGTACTGCGGAGGGTTTACAGTGACTTTAATGCCATCATTAGTCTATATAAATTGTGTCTTGGCACATAGTTAAGGAACGGTTACGGTTTCTAAAGGAAGGGTCTTTTCTATAGTGATGAATTAATTTGTTATTCTAACACCCAGAATGCTGTGATTTACACAAAAACATTCATTAAGCTGGTTGGGGAGTTTTATTATAAACATGGAGTGGGAATAACCATGTGGTAATATAACTACTCTGAAAAGAATGTTTCAAATGACACCCGGCAAATTAATGCTTATCAAACTAGTTAGCGCTCTTAATTTAGTCACAGTACAACAGCGTATATAAAGAGTGTCTCTTCAGTGGCAAAGCTCAATTCCAATTTCAGTACTAAAAATAATTCAGTATCTTTGAAAGGTAAGGAAGTGGAATTGTCTCAAGCACCTTTGCCTGATGATGTACAACAATGACTTTCACATGTTTGTGTAGTGTAATATCATCTGGAAATTACTGAATATGTATTCTTACAAATTGTCCTAAAATTAAGACTAGTGGTTTTACAGTACAAGGTGTGAATGTACTCTGTTTTTGTGGCTTTGTTTCTGTACTCTAGTTGCAAAAAGACAATGACTAAGGTTAAAATGTGAACTGTAACTTTGAAATGAACAGCTAAACGTTCTGTCTTGGTCAGTTGGGTGTTGTTGCACAAGAAATGAAAGTCTTATAGTGATTCATTTCCAATCCACTGTGCAGCAGTACAGAGTTAACACCCTCGAATAGCCAGGGCCTACTGGCACAGTTTATTACACACTTCTATAACCCAAGAATAGCTCCACCAGTTTGCATTGAAGTCCCTGTAGGTAACAAATCATAGGCCTTAGTATGTAATAAGCCTGGGATTTTAAGGGGTTAAAAAGTCAGTGTCCCTGTTCAGCTTCTTGTAAACTGCACAGTATGAGTCACTGTCAGCCTAACTTAGACAAGCGCTAATAATAGCATCTGAAGCCACTAAAACATAGTGGATTAAAATTTAATAGAAAGTTAAATACATAAAGCAGAAGTTGTGGCCATTCTTAGATTAAAATGTGGACTTAAAGTACACTCTCAGAAAAAAGGTACTAAACTAGCACTGGGGTGGTACTCATAAGGGTACGACTTCAGTACCTTTTGTTAGGGAACATCTTTGAACCATATTCCATTGCAGTTATATTTTTAAAGTTGTATTGACCCGTACACTCTGTCTCGTCTCCAGCCTTTTTATTTTATTATTATTTTAAAACATTAGGATATTAAAGGGTAAAACATTGGGGTGGGAATCTCTAGGCACCTCACGATTTGATTACGATTCAGAGGGCTGCGATGCGATTATAAAACGATTATCGATGCATCTTTTTTTTTCTATATAGCATTTCTATTTTCTCACTGTGTGAGCTCAAGTTTCAAGTTTATTTGTCACTTGCACAACATGTCAGGACATTTATGCATTGAAATGCTTGTGGTGAGGCTCAGCTAATCACTCTACAGAAGGTAAATAAGTGAAAATAAAAATACAAGAAAAACCAACTGAAATATATTAAATATACACAAAATATACACAGAAATATAGAGACAATATACATTTTAAAGTGACTAAGTAACTCGGTGGTATTGTTATTTAAAGTGACTTGGTACTTTTAAAGCAAAGTATTTGTAATGATCCATAATGAATTTACTTCCAATATCTTTTTTATTAAACAAATGGAAGTGATGTGGCAAGTGAACCAGAAGGCTCTCATTCACTGCTCTTGTTTGGAGAAACAGCTGCTACTCATCTGCGATAAAATGCGCAGTTACAGTGAAATAAGATCCAGTGGTGATGGATGACCACACAGCACATGTTACAGCTATTCTACCCGTTTTCTTTAGTGATTTTATAACTTCGGTTTTGGTCTCGTTGTAGTGACGGGGGGGATCGCTGTGTCAGTAAAGTATCTTTGAGACGGGTCGTGTGCAACATAGCGCGAAAGCCCTGTTTCGCAACGACTGAGAACCGCCGTGCAAACTGCAGGTCACATAGCAGCGATGCGTTATTCACATTTATAAGCAGCGCAGTTGGTTTCCTGGTACGTTAAATCTGCAACGAGAGACTGTCACACAGTAAAAAGTGGCGAAGCTGAAGTCGCTTCTCTTTTGAATTCTCCCGTTCCACCTTAAATGGTGCCGCATTTACATTCGGCGCCTCAGTTAGAATTTAAGGTGGAACGGGTAAATTCGAACAAGAAGCTGGAGAATAAGAAGCGACTTCAGCCTCGTAAAACAGTCGAACGTTGAGAGACATTTAACTGATCTACTTCAGAGGAAACGTTTTCTGGCGGAGATGGGAGGAAAGTGGCTGTAGCTGAGCTAAAGCTCAAAGCACAGCAAAGTAAATCTGCGTTTTCGTTTATATTGTTTAGTCTATACTAGGACATTAACACATACTGAGACATACTGGACATTAAATGTTGCGGCTCCCAAGGTGGTTTGATTTATGTTGAAAGGACAAAATGTTAATATTCGTGTTGTGACTCCTGACCTAACCTGGCTTTAATGCAGAGTGTGCCGGTCGGATTTCTCACTCATCCAGTAGTGTTTTTGTTATGTGCCGCCACAGATTGTCCGGGCGAGGCACTTCCGCACTTCCAAGTTCCGCCTTTTGCATTCCTTTAAAATTACGTTATAAATTAAATATTTAGAAAATTGATTTTTGACATTTGTGAATCGATTCAGAATCATTCACGTCCGCATCGCGATGCATCTAAAAATCGATTTTTTCCCGCACCCCTAGTAAAAACATATTTAAGGTACAAATTCAGACCTTAAAACCATTGTTGTAGCTTTGATGATGCATTTACATTGTTTGCACCTTGATGAATGAAAAATGTGTCTGCATAGTACATATTTTCTGACAGCATAGAGTATATAATAAAGTAGCATATTGTATTGTGTCGTTCAAGACAAGGCTCTCAATTCAATATGCACAGGGCTCTGAACAACACATTCAACAGATTTGAAGAAGTAAAGTGTAATAAAGTGTAATCTTTACCTCAAAGTTGAATACAGGGGGAGCAGCACACCTCTCATAAGTATATACTCGCAAAATTTAATTTTCTTTGAAACTGAATTGTGAATAATAATAGTAATTCTTTTCTCTGTTACAGTCATTCTTTGCAGAACGTTTCTTTGCACTGTTTGACTCTGATGGCAGTAACTCTATCAGTCTGGATGAGCTGCTGAAGGCTCTGAACCTCCTCATTCATGGCAGTGAGACGGACAAACTGCACTTCCTCTTCCAGGTCTATGATGTAGATGGTCAGTTTCCTCATTCCCTGAATACTGTATGATAACAAACTTGAATGTTGAATTTATTCTCTTAAACTATTTTTCATCATTACTGTTCTTCGTCCATTTAACTTGTATTCCATCCAACCAGTCGTAACTCACCTGAACATCTATTCACATACAGACACATTCAGACGCCATCTCTGTAACATGTAGTCAGAAAAGGTACAATGCAGGTACATTTTTCACTCATCAAGGTACAAATGATGTAAATTTACCCTCCACTTTTAAAACAGATGGTTCTATATAGAACCATGAGCACTCACAGAACCATTTGCATGCTTAAATGGTTCTTTGAGGGTGAGATGGTTCTTTAGATTGATGGAGAATGTGTTATAAATGGTTCAATATATTTCTATTAATTCTATTGCTACAAACTTGACATCATAGCAATAGCAGAACCCTTTTTGGTGCTATATAGAACCCTTTTCAAAAGTGTTCTGTATAAGACCACATACACCACATCCTCCATTAGTCTGAAAAACCATTTCACCATGCAAAGAACCATTTAATCATGAAAATGGTTCTTTAAGTGTTCAGTGCTAAAGAACCAATGAAGAGCCATAAAGTACAACAGTGGTTTTGAGTTCCAACCGTGAGCCTTAAATATGTTTTTTTATTCCCCGAGTAAAAGATATGTATTCATACCTTTTCGTAACCTAATGTTTTAAAACAGAACAGTAAAATAAAAAGCCTGAAGTCAATACAACCAGGTACTGAACACGTAGCCCTTGAGGGTACCACCCCACACTCTCCAAAATAAAGGTATGAAGCTATGACTGGGGCAGCACCCCTCTTGTCACTGGGGTGGTACCCTCAAGGGTACATCTCAGTATCTTTAGTCAGGGAACATAACTGTACCATAATCCATTAAAATTATATAATTATATTGTATTGACTCCACACACCCCGTCTCGTCTCCAGGCTTTTTATTTTATTGTTCGGTTTTAAAACATTAGATTATGAAAAGGTACAAATATGTACTTTGCACCTGGAAAAACTTATTTAAGGTACATAACAGGACCTTAAAACCACTGTTTACGTTTACCTTGTTTGTACCTTGATGAACGAATAATGTACCTGCACAGTACCTTTATCTCTAACAGTGCAGTGACAAGAGAGGTACCACCCCAGCGACAGTTTAGTACCTTTTTTCTGAGATTGTATTGCTATAGCATGTTTTGTAACCCCTGACACTACAGGTAGTGGTTCTATAGACCCTGACGAGTTGCGTACGGTACTGAAGTCCTGCCTGAGGGAAAGCGCAATCTCCTTGCCTGAGGAGAAACTCGACGACCTGACGCTAGCCCTGTTTGAGTCGGCTGATAAAGACAACAGTGGCTCCATCACATTTGAGGAGCTAAAGGCAGAGCTGGAGACCTTCCCTGAGGTCATGGAGAACCTCACCATCAGGTAGCAGCTAAAAGAATTTTTCAAATAAGCAGAATCAAAACCCTGCACCCACCCTGTAGACTGAAGAAGATATTGTAGATGTCAACATTCCACAATTGTGTTATAAATTGCCTATTTTAACTTGAAGTCTGAGGGACCTGTAGGTGGATCCATACTAAGATTTCTCACTCTCTACTGCATTATGCAGATATTCATTTCATAGTAGTTACTGTATAATAAGCCTTAAGATTAATTGCTGAATAATAAGCCTAGGGATTATGAGGACAAGCTTGTTATAACTGTTATTTCCTTCAGTGCTGCTAACTGGTTAAAGCCCTCCTGAACTGGAGCAGAAGAGGCGGCAGACCCCGCGCTACCTGACCCGAGCCTACTGGCACAACAACAGCCGAAAGCTGCTTTTCCTCTGCTTCTACTCATTCCTCAATGTGCTCCTCTTCATCGTATACATGCTGCAGCATGCTCCTGGTGGACTCTGGTTGATGCTGGCAAAAGGCTGTGGAATATGCCTCGACCTCAACTGCACTTTCATTGTGGTAAGTACACGTGGATCTGATTCTGATGAGGAGACTGAAGTTAGCTCTTAACATCTTCCCCTTTCAGGTGACTCTTTCAGTTAAAGATCAATGCTGTCATTACCGGATTGGAAGGCATGCTACTACAGACTGATCTTGTCTGCAGGTGCTGATGTTACGGCGCTGTCTCACCTGGCTGAGGGCCACCTGGGTAGTGAGGGTCTTACCTTTAGACCAGAACATCCTGCTGCACCAGATAGTGGGTTACACCATCCTTGTCTTCAGTGTGGCGCACACAATGGCTCACATCATGAACTTTAGTACGTTTGAAATTAAATTTTTAACAGAATTTTGTAGAGTTGCTCTCAGTACTGCTTCATCTCCCCAAACCAAGGCCTGACAAAGTACAGATCTTGAAACAGACACAGCTACAGCATTTGTCATTGTCGCCACATATTAGCCACAGTTAGTGAACTAGAAAGAAGTCAGTTAGTGTTACATGAACGACGATGATTTAGGTCTTTAGGTTTACAATGAGTAAAAGAGACATACATACATACATACATACATACATACATACATACATACATACATACATACATACATACATACATACATACATACATACATACATACATACATACATACATACATACATACATACATACATACATCATCTAAATCGCTTATCCTTCTGGGTCACGGTGGGGTGCTGGAGCCTATCCCAGCTGTCATTGGGCGGAAGGCAGGATACACCCTGGACGGGTCGCCAGTCCATCACAGGGCAGACAGACAGACATATACATTCACACACACTCACACCTAGGGGCAATTTAGCATGTCCAATCAGCCTGACTGCATGTCTTTGGACTGTGGGAGGAAACCCACGCAGACACGGGGAGAACATGCAAACTCCACACAGAAATGACCCTGGTCACCCGGCCGGGAATCGAACCCAGACTATTCTCACTGTGAGGCGACAGCACTACCCACTGCGCCACCGTGCCACCTAAAAGAGGAATAGTGCCATCTTAATGATAATAACAGATTAATCACTTCCGAAAAATTGTGCTAATCTCATGAACATGATTGATTCTCATTTGGTATAAGAACTGTATGCATATAGCAATGTAATATTCTACACTGAATGTCAATTGTTAAAGTAAGTACAAGATAAAAAATATGCTCTATTCAACTAATGTGTTTATGTAACCCTGTCTTCTCTCAGTTCACCTAACCCAGGTGCACGAAAGTTATCAGCTGTGGGAATATGTCTTCACCACTCGTCCTGGTATCGGCTGGGTTAAAGGCACCGCCTCCATCACCGGGATTGTGCTGCAGGTCCTCATCTGCCTCATGGTGGTCTGCTCTAGCACATTTGTCAGACGCAGTGGCCATTTTGAGGTAACAAAAATAAGTGATTTCCTCTAGTATGGGGACGGTCAAGGTTACAGTCTCAGAAATTAAGCTGAAAATGAAAAAAGTCCCATATGTCCAGTTAGAGGCAAAAATATTGGGACAATGAGGTGGTTAGGACACTATGAACATAGACTTAACAAGCACCAACTGAAACAGCATGCCACAATGACTTGGCAAAGCATTTCAAATGAAGTTATCAGGAGTCTGGTTATGTCCATGGATTGCAGATTTTGAGGCAGTTATTGTATATAATGGCTTTGTGACCAAATACTAACTTTAAAACTTGTAGTTTTAACTTTAAAAGTTGATGAATAACTACAACACATTGCTTTTTTTCCCCTGTATGGTTTATGTTGATCTGGAACACAATAACCTTACCATAATAACCATAAATATATGGCAAAAATAACCCACATTGTCCTAGTGTTTTTGCTTCTCACTCTGTTTCTTCAATCTTTCATATGCTATGATTGTGGAAATGACAGTAGAAGTAAGCTGATCTCTTTACATTACCTTAATCATTGTATTAATGTCATTTACTGTCTAATGCTCTTCAACTGACACTAAAATCATAATTAAACTTCTAGCCTGTGGCACAAACAACATGTAGACTAGGAACTAGTAAAGTCTACATTCTGTAAAAGTAGCAAAACCTTTAGACATGCCATAGCATCCGCTTTTTTCCTTTACAACTATATATATGACAGTGGGTAACTTTGTCTGTTTAGGTGTTCTACTGGTCCCATCTGTCCTATATCTGGGTTTGGGCACTGCTCATAATCCACTGTACCAACTTCTGGAAATGGTTTGTAGCACCTGGTATAATTTTCCTTGTGGAGAAGTTAGTTGGCATTGCTGTGTCTCGCATGGGTGGCCTGTACATCGTTGAGGTCAACTTGCTGCCGTCTAAGGTACTGTCAGACTCTGCAGTCTATGTTTTATCTCATAAGTGATTGTTTGATATTTAGGATATTCTCATATTCTGATCATTAAGTTTGTACCGGCTTGTGGAAGTCAATTACACAGTGCAGTCCATGAAAATGGACAAATGACATCGTTTTTTTTGTTCTGTCTTCCAGTACATTGGATTTAAAAAAAAGAAAAATGACTGTTAAGTCAAAGTACAGCTTGCAATCTTCAAAGTTAGGACCAGCACTTAGCCACTGCTTCATTTTAAACTCAATGGGCCTCATTCACCAATATCTTCCTAAGATTTTTCTTAAATTTGTTCTTGAGAAAGGTCCTAAGAAAAGGTCTACGTCAGATTCGTCACGTGTTCTTAAACCTCAGAACTGTTTGTACCTTTGTGCTCTTTAGTGTGTGTAGATTCTGTTCTTACCTAAGAACAAATCCCAAATAAGAAAACCCCAAATAAGAAAACATTGATGAATGTCAGAATCTTCGTCAAAACTGTACAAGTGGGTTTTAAGAAGAAATTTATTCTTAAGAACAGTTGGTGAAAGAGGCCTAATGTATTGGAGTACAGAACAAAACAACAAAAAACTATGTCATTGTTTAGGTACTTACAGACTGCAGTGTGTGATTAATCCACGCAATGTACTTTACACTTCCACTTTAGCCTGTTTTTTGTTGACATTGAAGGTAACTCATCTGGTGATCAAGCGGCCACCTTTCTTCCAATTCAAACCTGGAGACTACGTCTACATCAACATACCAGTCATAGCAAAGTACGAGTGGCACCCCTTCACTATCAGCAGTGCCCCTGAGCAGCAAGGTACCACCAACTAGTTGATCTCTAACCTTAACTATGACCAGCCCTTACCTTACTTTTTGTACTGTGTAATCTAGGCCACATACTCTTCATACACCATAAATAGAAGAGTATAAATAGAACAGTAGATAGAAGATAGATAGGAAACAGAAATAGAGAAAATGGCAAAGATGGGAACTGGCATATGAGCAACTGTGTAAAGAGAAAACCATGATGTTTCATTTGTGTTCTGAAAAAAAGCTTTTAGACCCTCTTTGGCTACCAACGATGTGTTATATATGAATATGGAGAGATAATAAGTCATATAATAATGTCATTTAATCCATAGATACCATATGGCTCCATGTACGCTCAATGGGCCAGTGGACAAATCGCCTGTTTGAGTATTTCAGACAGTCTGATAGCCTAGCCATCAGCAACAAGAGGCTCACAGCCAGCCTGAGGAACCGTCACCACCAGACCAAAACCCAAGTGAGCGAGCACGAATCTCCTCATTTTCCAGCCACAAGATTTTACTATACTGTTGTTTCGCATTCCAGATTATTTGTTTTCTGACAAGCATTTTAATAACAGCCGTTGCTTGTACACACAGTTGATCTGTTTTTCTCAAACACATGTACATGACAGGAAGAGCTGTTCAAGTCCTTGAGCTGTAATGGAGCTGTAGCATCTAATGAGGACCTTGCTATTGAGCTAACTCTGTATAGGTTGAATGGAGCACGCAGCACTTCCCAGAAGCCACATATGGATCCCACAGTGCAAGCAGAACTGGGAGATGCCCCGTCAGCCACTAGAGAGGTCAGTTATCCTTCTTGTTGTGTTCCAGTTGCTCCAGATTTGGCAGTTGATGGTAAAAAATTCAACCTATTTACCAACATTTGTTGCACATCAAAATGTGATTTAAAAAAGCTTCAAGCCATGTGCTAACATCAGCTGTTGTGTTGGGTTTGATATTGATGTTCATAACTTTGCCACATAAACAGTTTTATAATCTATTTTACAGCAATAATACAATGTTATAATCTGTAATCTTACAGATCTCCACTAAACTGAGTGAGAATCACAGGTATTGTGACATCAAGGTGAGCAATGACTGTAAGGATGTAATTACTGAAGATTGCTGTCATTTAATAATATTATTAGTAGTAGTATTAATAGCTTTTCAGATGCACTAACTGGTCTACACAAATGTTACCGATACTATGATTCTATCTTATGTTTATCACCACTGAAATAAATATTGAAATGAATGCAACGAGTGGTTGATAAAGTGTCATGTTTCTCTGTTCTACAGTGTTATGTAGATGGACCCTATGGCACCCCCACCAGGCAAATCTTTGCCTCAGAGCATGCAGTGCTGATAGGTGCTGGAATTGGCATCACTCCTTTTGCATCCATTTTGCAGAGCATTATGTACCGGTGAGATCCCACAACATTCAGCCTTCGTTACAGCAAATCATATGGGATACAGTTCTGTGCAAGTCCAACCATTTATTTAATTTCCAGTCAAAACATCCATTAGAGTAAGTTATTCATTTTTAGGAGATATTTCTTAGGAGATATAAGATAACCCATTTGTATAAGGAAAGTCAAAGGAAAATAAGTGAAAAAAAAGAGGTTTTCAAAACTAAAGCTCAAAAAATGATTTAAAAATTTAGAGAAAATGGGACCATTAATAACCACCAAGACCTGGTAAACCACCAAAACTGTCACCATCAGACAAACAGAACTTAAAGATTTCATCTCTGAGGTAGAGGAGAAAATCAAGCTCCACTCTCACTTCAGATCTGAGAAAAATCTACAGGTGTTTCTGTCCATCCATCTACTGTCAGAAAACAACTCAACACTATGAGTCCGATAGGATGTGTAGCTGTTAAGAAGCTGTTACTGAGAAAAGAAAATAGACAAAAAAGAAGAAAATTTGCAAATCAATGATCTGCTGGTGTCTTCAGAACAATGTACTGACCACTCCAGAGTCCAGACATTAATGTCACTGAATGTGTTTGGGATTACTTGGATCATAAGAAGCAGAAAATACAACCAACTTCCAAGACTGAACTTGAAAGGTGTGAAAAAACATCTCTGCAGATTTACTTGAAAAACTGAAAGTCTCACAAAAACAACGGAAGCTGTAATAAAGACAAAGACTGAACATAGTGAGAACTGAAAAATCCTACATTATATGTAGTTGTTGAGGCTTCTGTGAAATTTTCTGTTGAATAAATGTTTTCTGCTTCTTGGGGCTAAAAAATGATTAATTTATACTTAAGAGCTGTTTTAGACTGACATCTCTGATGTTTACATAGTGCTGTACATGCATGTGGCAGTAGAAACACAATCAGTCTCAGACTGCATATTTTCAAACAAGCAAACAAAAAAACCTCTTACTCTTCTGCTGCAGCTACCGAATGAGGAAGCAAAACTGTCCCAACTGTAACTATTCTTGGTGCGAGACTATCAAAGACAATGAGATGAAGCTGAGGAAGGTAAGACATCAAGGCCTGTAAAAATATTTCAGTCATTCAGCATTCAGTGCCGATAACTTCATTGACTTTGCTTGTTTATGCTGATTAAAACTAGATAAAAAGGTCAATTTTATACATTCAGGACAATGCAAAAAAAATGAGTACAACAAGTGAATTAAGTCTACTTAATTAATAATTTGAATTTACTTAAAAGTAGATCAGAGAAGTCTGCTTATCTGTGACAATGAAAGAATTAAGTGAAATGGGATTGACTACAACCCCATCAAACTGTTTGTTTGCCTGGAGGGAAGATCTGGCCTACAGATGTCACGTTAAAGTTTCATCCCACTACAGGTGGACTTCATCTGGATAAACCGGGATCAGAAGTCCTTTGAGTGGTTTGTGAGCCTGCTGACCAAGCTGGAGATGGACCAGGCTGATGAGGAGCCCGAGGGTAAGAGAGAGAGAGAGGGAGAGGGAGAGGGAGAGAGAGAGAGAGAGAGAGAGAGAGAGAGAGAGAGAGAGAGAGAGAGAGAATCACAGAGACTAGTTTGTGTATTAATTGTTTTTTTTTATTTTTTCAGGTCGATTTTTGGAGATGCACATGTACATGACTTCAGCTCTCAGCAAGAATGACATGAAAGCTATCGGACTGCAGATGGCACTGGACTTGCTGGCAAAGAAAGAGAAGAGAGACTCTATCACTGGCCTCCGCACACGCACACAGCCGGGCAGACCGGACTGGGGCAAGGTGAGCGACAAGCAGTCTAGCTCAGCGGAATTCAGCAGCTACAGGCCTATATTCTCTAATACTCATTCATTATCTGTCCACTAGTTTACAGTCTCTATGTTGAATGTTCCCAGTTCAGTATATGATATGATATGATATGATATATGATATGATATGGGCTTTCTCTTTTCCATTAATTTTCCAGAACTGTTCAGATGATCAAAACTTTATTTGAATAGATTATTCCAATTTTCACTGTGTTCTGTGAAATGCGCTCTAGGTGTTCCAGAAGGTGTCTGAGGAGAAGAAAGGCAAAGTCCACGTGTTCTACTGCGGTGCCCCAGCTCTTGCTAAAGTCATCAAGGCTCAGTGTGAGCATTTTGGATTCAATTTCTACAAGGAAAACTTCTGAGACTTCCTACCTCCTCACATTTACTCATCAGCTATTTCTTACTCTGCCCTGCTAGCATAAACGGATGCTTGTTTTCTCTGACCTACCAGAACCAGATCTTAATCTAGCTTTAAAATGTGACATTCTCCTTTTGTACTTTATGTTTGTCAGTATTTCTGTATGCACTTGGCCTTTGCACTCACACCTCATTGATAATGAATTGAAAAGTAGGATTCATCTATTTTAATAAACAAATGTAGTGTCAGCCATTTAGAAATAGTTTACATATCACAGCTGATGTAGGACTGAGCATCATTATTATTAAGGATTAAAAGTGCAGTGTGATAAGGCTGTATTAATAGCACATTTTCCTTTATATGCATTGTCTTTTTTGTGTCAAACAAATAGGATGAATATATCCTAGATACAGAATAGAGCCTATGTATTGTCATGTATATTGTTATTGTGCATGTCTTGCATTATGTCTTTGTTATTAGACATTTACTCAGTTAAACAATACCTATGACTGACAGAGGTAAAAGTATGTCTGTAATCTGTTGTGTTCCTGTAGCATTACTTACTATATACTGCACACACGCGCACTCACTGGACACTTTATCAGGTACACCAACCTTGTATTTACACTAGTCATTTTGTCAGGTCTGCTTACCATGTGGGTGAACCGTGTTCAACAATTATAGACTCTAGTCCATCCGTTTCTCTTTATACTTTGTTATTGTGTTCATCAATGGTCAGGACCTCAACAGGACCACCACAGCCAGGTATTATTTGGGTGGTGGATCTACGAAGTGCATCTATATGGTAATTGGACCTAATGAAAGGTACGTGTACTTAAAGTGGCCAGTGAGCAGATTAGGTCAATGTATATTGAAAATATTTGTATTCTTTTGGAAAGTCAAAATGTCAGTTTATGTTAAGGACCTGTTGGTTAAAATGTTAATTAAAGTTTAATTTCAGCTTTAGAGAGTAAAAGTCATGTCATTCTTTTTCGTTGCAGAATTAACTGAGTTAACGTCTCCGTCCCATTTGATGAATGCTAAGCTACATGGCGCCATCTCGTGGTCCTGTATGCAAATGCACTTGACTATTGATTAATAACGGCCTAAGCGGTTTGATTAGCATTTGCGTGATTACACAAGTCGTTTTCGGCGTTATGTAGATTAACGACTGACACAGTAATAACGGATGAATTTTAATATCAATTCGTAATTCAAGCTCTAATACATATTATGGCCTTTAACCAGAGCCTAGACTGCAATTTGTTATTACGCGAAGCACTAGTTCATCCTGTATGTCACATAGTAAATCCGTCGAAGCCACGCCTCTCTGACTGGCTGATTGGCTAATGTGACTGTCCCCTGCGTTTTCATTGGCTCAACGCTCTGTCACTCCGTGATGTACAGTGATGCAGGTTTGGAAGAAGGGGGCTTTGTTTGTGGTCAGATTTGTTGTCAGTTCATTTGAAATAGCTTTAAAATTCAGATAACAGCAGCACTTCAGTCTTGTCCTCTGCTGTGTGAACGTACTGAGCAGGACACTACAGGTGCAGGTAAGTGTTCCGATTTCTGCTTTTCTAATACTGCTTCCTATCTAACGCCCTCTTTCGCATTCAGAATCACGTGAACCCCGCAGCTTCAGACCCAAACCCTACTCACTGCCCAGCTGTCCGCATGAAGATATGCTTTCAGAGACCAATAAAGTTAAATGTAGATCCCTTTTAAGCACTACCCACATTATTATACCAAAATGAACGAATTACAGTAGCCTATTTGTAACCGTCATCAAATCACAATTAGCTGCTTAGGACTCACTGTAGGTACCTTCATGTCCATCTCTAATTCTGAAGTTAAGTAATAACTAATTTATTAAAGTGTTTCTCTCTGTGACACTTAGTGTGTTTTAAGTGTCCCCTGGTCACTGATGGAATTTCTTAGGCAGCCAGCACCAGAGCCTGAAGGCAGACTTGAGGCGGGCAGCTCCTGCAGCGTACCTTGAGATGTCTTCCAGTGTAAGATCTGCTGCCTCTGCATGGCTGTGATGTGAGGATGCGCTGCCTGGTGGCGAGAGTCAACCACAAGACTCTGATAGTCATCTGTGCAGTCTTCGCCCTGATTACTGTGCTGCTATGGAACAAGTGCTCGAGCGACGTGACTTTCCATACCCCAACCAAGCCCCAACCTGAGCCTGCACCCACCCTGGAGGAAGAGGAGGACAATGGGCAGCCCCCAGAAGCACCCCCTGTGGCCAGGGAGGTCCCGTATGAGGAAATTGACTGCCTCATCAATGAGGATATCACCATCAAAGGGCGCCGGGAGGGCAATGAGGTGTACCTGCCCTTCAGCTGGGTGGAGAAGTACTTTGACGTGTATGGACGTCTGGTGCAGTATGACGGTACAGAGCGCTTTGAATTCTCCCACAGCTACTCACGGGTGTACGCCCAGAGGGAGCCCTATCATCCGGATGGGGTCTTTATGTCCTTCGAGGGCTACAACGTGGAGGTGAGAGACCGGGTGAAGTGCATCAGCGGAGTGGAGGGTATGTGATTTCTTCAGCTAAGAGCTTACGGTCTATAACGTAGGGATTTCCTGGTTTTCCCAGTTTACTTTTATAGTAATAAACCCCACACCCAGTAATTGTAAAAATCGCCAATTGAGTCAGCACAAAGGTTGGACATAGGTGAGGTTGCAGACCAAGGAAAGAATGGATGACTATTAAAATATGGTAAATGGTTATATGAACAGTTTCTAAAATGTGATTGGGATCCAGAACTGATTACAGAACTGATTTTGCTTCTACTTAGGTGTGCCCATATCCACACAGTGGGGACCACAAGGCTACTTCTACCCTATACAGATAGCTCAGTATGGACTGAGTCACTACAGTAAGAACCTTACAGAGAAGCCACCTGACATAAAGACTTACGGTATGGAAGAGAGAGATGGCAGCTCCAACCCCTGGACTGTTCCCAAGGGCTGTTCCCTTTCCAAGGTCCATGACCCAGGCAACTCAGCCACTGTTCACCAGTTCAACACACCAGGTACGAACTCCCATGATGAACTGTCACACAATGAGTACAAGTCAATTTGTAACATAACAATGTAGCACTGAACTGTAGCGATTAGGTTTTTGGGTTGATATAATCATGATCCCAAATATAGTGCTGTTACATTAGCTCTTAGATTAGCACACCAAGAAATCAATAGTACTATACAAATAAGAGGTATACAGATCGTAATCAGATCATTAAGATTTTTTTATAGCCATGTGTTTAGGCAGATTTTTATTAGCCAATTTTTTTAATACCTGAAGCTCACAAAGTTGGTTAAATTAATCACACTAGCACATTTCAAGTACTTTCTATTCGCCAAAGTTCCAACATAAATAATATTATTTGCTCTTTAATTGGCTAGACTGGTATAAAAAACTTGCAAAGGTTCTTAAGACAAACACTAAGAACTTCACAAGAATGTTCTTAAACACAATTCCAGAGAAAAACTTAATTTCTCAGATATTCTCTTAAGATAATCTTAATCATTTTCTGAAAAATTTCCTTAGAAAATCTTCATTGTTTTCTTATGTATGCTACATTGCATTTTTTCATGTAGCATAATGATGCGAGATACATTTTGTATTAACTTTTACTTATACCAGGCATTTCAAAAATTTTAGAAGTAGAGGTAATGGAAGAAATAGCCAGCAGGAAAAAAATCCTCATTGGACAATATGATAATTGTGGGCTGACAGACGAGGATGAGGAGTAGCAGAGACACTGTCTATGATAAATTTAGATGCTCATCTTGTCAACTCTTGTCTTAAGACAGTATTTGAAGAATAAGAATTTCTCATTAATTTTTTCTTAAGAATGAAGAAAAAACACATAATTAAGAAGATTTTCTTTCTTAAGACATTTTCATGAATCCGACCCCAGTATTCCCATTTTTCACCTAAATTTTAGATGCCAGTATAGTTGTATAATAACTCAAAGGGATGCCAAAGATTCCCTTACAGCACTGTGTCTAACTATGTCTCCTTTGTTTTGTGTAGACAATTCTGAGGGTATATCTCTGCCTCTGGACAACTCAAAGGATTTTGTCCTGTCCTTCAACTTAAAGTTCACTTCCAACGGCAGCGTGTCAGTGGTTCTGGAGACAACGGAGAAAGGACCCCCGTATGTCATCCACTATGTCACTAGCTCCCTCCTCATTTCCTTTAAGGACAGGCAGGTCACGTATGGCATTGGTCCCCGAACAGCCTGGAGTTTGCTGAGTCGAGACTTGGTGACTGACCTGCGTAAGGGAGTTGGTTTGTCCAACACCAAAGTAGTGAAGGCGACTCGGATCATGCCTCGACGTGTGGTCCAACTGGAACTGCATGGCTCAGGTTTCATCAGCAACATCAGCATCTCCTCCACAGCTCACATGGCTGCCTTCTTTGCTGCGAGTGATTGGCTCCTCCGCAATCAGGACGAGCGTGGCGGATGGCCAATCAAAGTGGCTCGGAAGTTGGGGGAGGGCTTTAAAACCTTGGAACCTGGCTGGTACTCGGCTATGGCCCAGGGCCAAGCCATGTCCACTCTGGTGAGGGCTTACCTGGTCACACATGACCCTGTGTACCTTAGTTCTGCCATGAGGGCCACGGCGCCATTCAAGCGGACCTCAGAGCAGCATGGTGTAAAGGCCCTGTTCATGAACAAGCACGACTGGTATGAAGAGTACCCAACCACACCCAGCTCCTTCGTGCTCAATGGCTTCATCTACTCTCTGATTGGACTTTTTGATGTGGCAGAAATAGCGGGGGACAAATTTGGCCGAGAAGCGGGTATACTGTTCAGCCGAGGATTAGAGTCGCTGAAAGCCATGCTGCCGCTTTTTGATACAGGTTCTGGAACTGTGTATGACCTGAGACATTTCACACTGGGTGTGGCACCAAATCTAGCGCGCTGGGACTACCATACCACTCACATAAACCAGCTGCAGCTGCTGGCTTCCATAGATAGTAGCCCCATTTTCAGAGACTACGCCAGACGCTGGAAGACCTATTTGAAAGGTGGTCGTGCCAAGCATAACTAGAGTTACTCTAAAAAGACTCGTTTTTTACCATAAGGAACCTCTTGAACTGATAAAAACCGAAACCAAATCGGTGTTGTGATTAAAACAATAAAGACTTGTTGATAAGAAGAATGCGGCACTTAGAGATCTAATCTGCAAGATTGGTATTGTAGTCAATCGAGGCATATTTTACAGGATCAATCTTAACTATACAAAGCTTGAGAAAATATTAATCCTATGTTAAGGCTATTTTACCCCGTTTCGCTTTGTTTTCAACACTGTTGTAGAGGTGCCAGCTGAACATTATCCACAACTTGGAAAAATGAAATGCTTTTTCAAAAGTTTCAAAATGCGGTCTAAATGTCACCATATGTACATTTCTTAAGTTAAAATGAAAACAGCCCAACAGCCACTTGTACTATCTGCTTTAGCAGTGTTTCAACTGTGGTTAAGCTAGCTGCCTTTATCAGTTAAACTAGCCAGAAGTGTAATTGGAGCATTCAGCAGTAACAACGGTAAAGGCAATGGTAACTAAGTAAGATAAAGATAAGATTAAGTAATTTTAATGTAGCATTTTGAAAAAAAAAGGCAGCCTAGCATATCTAATATAAATTAGATTGGTTTTACTAACTTTAATGTTCTTGATGTGTGGATTGTGTGGCTGTATTGTCTATGAAAATTCAACTAGTGGATTGGTACCTGGTTTATAATTGATAATAATGACAGTCGATAATTGGGCAAAAAAGTTTGCTCGATAACCCAGTCACAGCTAAGATAAGAAATGTCATCCAGTAGTTTAAGCTTAGTTCATCTTAGACATACATCCACATTTTTGAAGTTGCTAAGCTTTAATGCTCCCATTTCAAGAAACTGTTTTTTTATATTTAAACGATTGTACCGAGAGCGACAGTTTTTTAAGACTTCTAAAATAGTGGTTCCTTAGGAAAAGCGATTGTGACATTTACATGCACTTTAAGGTAAGCACATTAAATCTTACATATTATGGTTGGGTACAATGAACAGTGATAGAAGCAAATATTAGGACTGCGGGTATCTGTACAGCAATTATGAACAGCATATTGTGGCATTTCATGACAAGAAATGGTGGGCTTATTCAAGGTCTTGTGGGGTGTGCAATAGTTTTAAATGGTGTAACTTACATTGTATGTTGTATTTATATGTTTTGTGGTAACTGGCTGTCAGTTTGAAATTTCTTTGCTCATATAGTCATAGAAATTGAATTTTGAGGAGTGATATGTGCCATACAGCTCACACAACACAGGTTTTGGATAAATGTGTAGAAATTCTGCTTGATTGTTTTTATATTATGAACAGCTTTGAGGTTAAAATAAATGTATTTAGTCATTACTGTCGTGTACACTTCTCTCATTCACCAGCTCCCAGAGTTCACTGGTATTTCTTTGTTAACCCCTTAAAATCCCAGGCTTGTTACATACTAAGGCTTATAATTTAGTTACTACAGAGACTTCAGTGCAAACTGGTTGAACCATCCTTAGTTTGTAGAGTGTGTAAAACTTAAAACTTTTAAGGAGTTAACATTTTAAGGAGTTAACATTTTGTGGCAAATTACAGATAACCATGCCATCAAGCAACAGTCATGATAAACAAGGGAATAAAATTTGATAAACATCTGGTATCATCAAACATATGCAGTGAATGAAAGAGACATACTATTAAAAACAGCTTAAACCAAGACGACTTACGATGTTGTAGTCAAATTTATTACTACATATAACATGCAGCCTATCAGTTTTGGCGCCAGATTTTGTTATACACCGTTCTCATCCTTTTGTTTTGAAAATCTTGGTGTAAAATAAAAGGTTAAAGCTGAAAACTGAGGTAGTGTGCAGGGACGGTTTTATTGATTCTGGGCCTCTAGGCAAAAGGCAGGAATGTGTCCCATGGATGCACATTTTTAAATGGAACAACTATCTGCATTGCAAACAAAAAGATATCTTGGCAGGTGAATCTCATTACAGTTTGAGAGAAGTAATTAGTAATTTCAGTTGATTACTTTTTTGAGTAACTACCCCAAAACTGCTCTATACAAACATTAACGCTAGCAGTAGGAACGGTCTGCTGAGCCTGTGCAGCATTCTGTTCTGTTCTGACTGAAAAAACAATTTAACTGCTGCACTTGGCTCACTTTATGCTCCTTCTCAACACCCAGAAAATCACAATGAAGAGCCTCCTCTCCAGAACAGATTATCGCTTAATTTCCTGTCTAACGCAGTTGTGTCATCACGTAAGAACATAAAATAGTCCATTAAAACTATGACCGGAGGACGGCACTGTATTGAAATTACTGAAAATAATTGCCACAGTCACAAATAACACCTTTTTTTATATGTCTATATATTTTGGTATAGGTTATACAGCATCAAAACATACAGTATATCTAAAATGTGATTACTGGCATTTCACAGTCGAGCCACAGCAGTCTTAGTTTCTCTGGAATATGTGAGGTAAGAGTTACACTAATGCTTGCTTGGTTGTATTTATTAGACTAGATCAGCGGCTAGCAGTCAGGACTTTTTGACGCCACATGGATTCCCAACAAATCTCTGAAGTCATGCATTATTCTGTAGCTGGCATCATGTCCATATTAGGACCTTGGGGTCTAAGCTGTATTTCTCTATGCCAAAAATTAATAGGATTTCAAAAAACATCTGCTATTGCACCATGTTATACAAAGAGGTTCCAAACACCAAAGTTTTGAACTGTGTACGTTTTTCCATTGAACGTCACTGGATACTCTTAATTTTGAGGTTGTTAAGGAGAAAAAATATGAACATTGCTACATATATGCTAATAGTAAACTACCACTCCTCTTCGATGAAATCACATTGCATGAAAGTGACTTTAACACTATTATACACTATTATACACCATTATACACTATTATACAATACGACCAGCCACTCCAAATATACTACTGCCAAAGTAAGTTTACTACTACACTTGACAAAGCTTGCTGGTTTGTTTGGGGTGTTTTGGCGAGATGGTCAGTCTTATGATTGCTTGCATGTAGTAAATTTCACCTTTAGACTCCTTAACAACCTCATTATTCAGAGGATCCAGTGACATTTGTTCCATACATGTTTATAAATTATATACACCTGTATGGGTATTGCACTGATGAACAAAAACTGAAAACAATATAAAATCGTGAATTCTGTTAAACCAATAAGGCTGAGGGATTTAATGCTTGCTACAGAATGGTGTGTTATGTTGACAAATAACAAGCTATAATAAATATAGTATAATGTAATATAATGTGTACATTAAACCTTCTAATATGCCCAGGATGCCCCTTTAACCCAAAAAGGAATAAAGAACAGCATGTGAATAACTAATGTGGAACTGATATATTTGAGTAGAAGTAGAAATATTATCTTTTGAAAGCAAACAGTAAGCAGTTTCTACATACCTTACCTCAGACATCTTCCTTTAAGCCTGTGCTGTCCTCTCGCCCAGTGGCTTCTAATTCCATTGTTTTTAAAGATGTTCTGTTCTGTCTATGAATTCCATATTATGTCAAACGCTGTTTGAGAAGAGTTGAGTCTCGAAGAGAAAGAGGCTGATTTCATATTACATCCCACCTCTTCATTAGGGTCACTACTTCTCACGCAGCACTACTACCTAACTCAGCTGATTACAAAGCTGAATCCATTCGCTCTGTGTCCTGTTCATACTCCCTGCCGTAGTGATACAGCATCTTAGCTCGATTACGATGCCTGCCTACGCCAAGGCATCCACAAACCAATAAGCTAGTTAGCTAGCGTTATTTTTTTCTACGGTTTCTTAGAAATCGTTTTCAGAGGTAGAAGTAATCAAAATGGTCTGATTGTAAGACTTCTAAAGGATATGAATGTACTCGGATGGATGTGTAGGATGCTATGCGGCGTCGTCTGTGTGAGGGCAGAAGCGCAGTCGAGTTGTCAGCTCCGCTCGGTTTGTGGTAGCTAGCAAACAAGCTCGGCTAGCTGCGTTAGCCAGCTAGGTGGGAGCTGCGCCGTCGATGACAGATTTCAGCGGAAATTCAGAAGAGCGGGTATGTGTTGTGTGCCAGCAGGTTGATTATATTTGACTCTCTTTGACCTATTCAGATCGGGTCGGAGCGCCGGTTTCGGTTAATGTTGCGGTATTTTATAAAAGAGCAGCGTCTGTGCTCGATAGCTGGTTGTTGCTAATGTAATCATTGCTAGCTGCCAGCCCGTTTCCATATTTGGGCGGGCACGCTGGAGACTCTCCTTATCAAGTTATTGTTAGCTGCGCTCACACAGAAGCCTGATGCGCTGGATCTTTTGAGGATATTGTTTTATTGTGTGCCAGCCGACGTGTGTAGGATGAGGTTAAGGCTACACTCGCGTTTCAGTCGTTAGCCACTTTATAGCGGAGACTGCGAGGCTGAGCAGGTTTGACGCAGTTTCCATCAGGGATGGCTATCAGGAGCTTCTCATATTCATGGAAAGGGAGCTAAATGATGAAGGGTTATGAGGTTTGATTGAACGCCTTGGAAGGAAGGAGCACCAGATAATGCAGTGCTGCCGTGTTATTATTTTTTCACCGACATGATAATAGTGCAAGACAAGTAAGAGTTTTGTTCGGTTGGCAGCTTGTAGTTAGCTAAGCTACGTTTAAGATCAGCCATTAAACCAAACCACGCTGAGTAACTTAATATTACCGTGCATTTGTTTTTTATCTATAATGGTTTGCGTAATAAACACACATTTGGGAAGTCTCATCTGTTTCTCTGTGTCAGTCAGCTGACCGTATCAATCACTAGAGGATGGTCAGCGGATCTATTTGTTTTTGCAGATGTAAACCTAGTTAAAGGGTTGTAATGGGAAAGGGTTCAAGTCATGGCTTTAAAGAGGAATTTATCAACATTTCTGCCTAATTATATTGTCAGAGGTCTATGTAGTTATATGGGGCTGGGTTTCCCAAAAGCATCTTAGCACTAAGATGATTCTGAAGTGGTAGATTGAGCATCACTATGAACACTTTGTCTACCAGTTAAGACGATCTTTACACTGAGATGTTTTTTTTGGGAACCTGTGCTTAAAATGGTCTAAAGTGGAAAGAACCATTGTAGAGATATAATGAGAATCAGACACACAGGAAGTTATTACGTGAAATGCTTGTGAAAACGCACCCTGATGTCTGAGACATTGTTTACAATAGTTTTGAGATAAGGTTTTGACCTCACTTATTTCCCCATTCATGGTAGTGAGCTACATGCAGGGCATTGTGAGGCAAAATAGTGTCCAGTGTAAGTTCACTGGTCATTTTGGGTAGTAAATAAAATGGCTACATTTGCATTGTAGACATTGCGAAACCCGGTCTATTGCCACCGTCTTGATGATTGAATAAACTGAAAGTTTTGAACTTTCCTTTAGCAGTGGCTCATTTATAGAAGACTGAAACTGATATTTTATAATTGATTAGAAATGAAGTGAGAAGATTAGGTTGTCATCAGTTCCTGTGCTCCGTGCCTCAAATACACCCTAAGTAGGTGTTTTTAACAACATTTTAACAACATATGATACAATAGCTATTTTTACAGGATTCTTTTGTGTACACATATGTTGTCTTCTCTCTTTTAGGCTGCATGGCCTATATGCTGCTGAGTTAGTGACGGGCCTTTGTGTGAGGAAGGGCGAGCCAGGCGCTCAGCCTGAGAGAAAGAGAGAGAGATGGCCGTGCAGAACAGGAACGCGGTGCTGGTTCTGTCCGGGCGAGAGCGCGGATCCCGGATGTTGGGCTCCCAGCGGCTTTTGCAGCAGCTGGTGGAGGAAAGGACTCGCTGGATGAAACTGCAGAGTCAGGTAGACGGATCCTTTCAGCAGATCCTTTCATTTCTACAATATATAGTCTTTGTCATAGTCTGTGGTGTACATGTAAATAGATGTGATAATCTAGGCAGTAAAAATGTTTGGTGTTGTGTGCTCTGTGATGTCTACATAGGCTTTGAGCATTTCTGTTCATTGTGTTTTCAACAGAAAGTGGAACTTCCGGATAACCCTCGCTCAACATTCTTGTTGGCCTTCAGCCCAGACAGGTAGGCCTTAAAGTGTTTCAGTACCATTCAGTATGTTACAGTACGTTCAGTGCTCTTGCTTTTAAGTCTTTGTTAGTATTGGTGTTTGTACCCATTTAGGACTAATAAGGACCCCCAAATGTTCTTATTGTCTTAACAGGAATCTCATGGCCTCCACTCATGTCAACCACAACATCTACATCACAGAGGTGAAGACAGGAAAGTGCCTGCACTCTCTGGTGGGTCACCGGCGGACCCCGTGGTGTCTGACGTTTCACCCGACTATCCCAGGCTTGGTGGCCTC